ACATAATAAAGGATCCTGTCAGATTAAAACCGTTCTGTGAGGAAAAAGCCACAACTGTTACTGACAAACATGGACATACCCACGGAATACACTAAATGATGTATTGATTCATATACATTTACGCCAATATTATTAACGTACAATTACGCAGTTAGGTCATGGGACATTTGGAGTTACAAGTTAGTCACGCACCAGCAGTGAGCATGGCCATTCATATAGATAATCTCTTTACTGTCAGTTGGCTGATGCTAATTGCGTTAGCTGCTGTCAACAGGTATTTGGTTACATAGGACGCCCCTCTAACCTACTTACCAGACAGATTTGGTTTTCCATAGATACAAAAATGATGGTGACGTTCATGGCCCAGCAATAACAGCCACCAAAAATGATTAAAAATCCATTTCTGGATTAGTGTTTTCCTTATTTTTATTTTATTCTTATTTTTTTATCCATTAGTGTCTAAGACTTCTTTAAATTAAACAAAAACAAACACAATATTTTACCTACTGGAGGAACACATAGTAGTAATAATACATAATAGTTTAGAGGAAATAAGTAGTCTTGAGTCCACAATAGGAAATAAAGATAAAAACAATAACAAAATGTAACTGACCTTCTCACCTGATATTTTAGAACGGTAGTATTTTACCCCTATTGTACACAAACCTATACCTCATCTGAGTGCCTGAGGTCTTTTGTTTGTGGTTTGTTAGTTTCACAAGCCTGTGATCATCATAGTGGTCACATAGGTCCTTTTGTCAAGTGATATCAAGTAAAAACAAGTGTTCTCACTCTGTGAAATTGCTATTATGGGGTCTGACATCATCAAACAATAAGATAATTGAGGTCATTCATTCCACAAGTACAGGTACACCAAATTATGCAAACCCACGTTGTTTAGCTTTGAAATATTCAACTTCACCACTTTTAATGAAGATGAAAGTTTATACAGTTTATACTCACCATCTTTCTGTTCCCTTTCAGTCAGAACTAACACTTTTTGCATTCGAGGGCACAAAGCGACGCAAACGTTCTACAAATGCTACAATTACTTGCCGCTGTGTTACTGCTCAACTCAAAAGCTTTGCTGCCAATGATGTGCAACAAGTCAAATGTATCCTGATAATGTTCAGGCCAAAAGGAACAACATGAGGGCTATTAAAAGTGAGCTGTTCTCCGACTCCCTCTCTCTTCAGACTGAGTACAGGGATTAATTCTACACTTCGGCTCCTACTCTTACTGAGATCTGTCCCACTGAGACGGACCTACTGCTGAGGGTTCAATGCACACACTTACACACACACACACACACACACACACACACACACACACACACACACACACACACACACACACACACACACGCACACACACACACACAGCAATTATCTCAGAGTGTGAACTCTATATTCATTTCAACTGGGACATTAAGGTTGACAAAACTGGCCTGAAAACACAGTTTTCTCCTCCTCCATAGTTTACTTTTTCTCTTCATCTCGCAGAGCGATCTGATCCGACAGGAGGCGGCTTTAAGTGTGTTAAACTGGTCCATGAGTGTGTATGATGCATCTGTGTGTTTACTTCTGTGACAACACTGGGTTTTGTTCTACCAAAGTTGTGGTTTTATTTGTATTTGGGTACATACATATATTTGTTTAGCTTTTAATTGAGCTAAACATTTTGTTATTCGCGAGCCCGTTTTTATGCCGGAAAATACACTTTTGCAGCATCAGTAACCTGAATGCCAAAGCAGCAGACTGAAATGAAAAGAATTTCACAATTAAACTCAATGTTTTGCGGTGTCCATATGCAATTCGCTAAAGGTTGGAACCATTGGAAATTCTCAAAACACAGTGGGCATTGCCAAAAACTAGCACAGTATATGAGAAATCAGCAATAAGGTATGAGAGGCTGTACTTTACCGTCCAATAATGTTCAGGGGTGTTGTTAAGCCCGACGCGCAGAGGGTCAATGTGAACAGGTACTGTACATTATCGCTCAATAATGCACTCCCCGTGACTCACTCTCAACCAATCAGAACGCTGGATTTCATCTACCTGTGTTAAAAACCTGTAATAAGGCCTGTCTATCTTTCTCACCTTGTGCTCAGTGTACACAACTATTGAATTATTATACTTTTAGGAGATATGGTGAAGCTGCTGTTGAAATGGCAGCTTTTTTCTGCTATAAGAGCGGTGGGAGAGAACCAAAACAGCGTAGTTGTGAGCTGGACATACATATAATTTTCTATATCAGTTGTTGCTGGTTAAAAACTATAACACTTTCTCGCGGCCGTAATTTTTACTTGTCATACGGTGATTTACGGCAACAATGAAATTGGTGCATAAATGCAGGTAGGCCACTACTGAACTCAAATGACTGAACACCAAAAGTGTAAAACTGTATGTATTGCAGATGTATTTTTGCAGAAACACGGAAAAGGCATATAGGACGGTGACTGTTTGATGAGCAAGAAATGAGGGTCAGTTCATCTCACAGTGACATCGCAGGTGTCTAACAATGCCGCCTTTGCGCTGTCTTTACAAAATTCCTGCTAATTAACACATAAGCACTAAATACAAATAAGACTCATAGACCCAGTAACAACAGGTTTGAGTGAGTGTACGACCCCCAGCTGCCGGAAAAACTGGCCCACAGTTTTCGATGTGTTTCTCTAACAACTAACAAGACCATGAGTACACTGGCCAAGTACCCCTCGGTTGCTGCTCTGTTGCTCACTTTTTTTGTTTATTTTTGGATGGTGTTGTTAGCTAATCGATAAAGCTAACAGCTACCTAACCGCTAGCAGTAACGGACAGCGCACACTGTGCTGTACGCCACCACCACTCAGTCACTGCTAAGCGGCCAGACTGCATGAGTTTCTCATTAATTTGGCACGATTTGTCTTCGGGCCCACATGGCCTTTTGTTATTTTATACGAATTAAGCCGGTTACAGCCAACCTTCAATCGTTGTAATTATTATTAGACCGTACAGCACTGTATATTGTAGACACAGTTTATAGTATTATTTTGCTTTTACCGTTTGTTGCGACTGTAGTGGCTATTGAGTTATTTGAAGAAAACCAACCTTAATGTCACGCTTTTTGTCCCTCTTTATTCTACAAAATGAGTATGCATCCATCAAACTTTACGTTTTAAGGCAACACATATCCTCCAGGATCACGGCCATAGTTTTCAAACATAATAATTACTGAGCCATCTTTAGGCAACTAAGCTACATGGTTAGGTTAAGTAATGTATCAAGGTTTGACCTAAGAAATAACAATGTTTATTATGCTATTATTCAATTCATCAAACATAATTTGAAATGTATGTGTTAAATGCATGACTCAAATGCCACCTGGAAGAAAATACCTTTCCTTCAATGTGTAAAGAACAATGCAGTTCCGTTGTACGCAAGATAATCTTTAGGAGACCAGACTGCCTTTTTAATACCTCCCCTTACAGCATTCGGCAACTCTCATCTACTTTTGAGGAAAGCCACAGTGCCTCTCAAACAAGCATAGTGTACACTATCCGTGTGTGTTCAAGATAGACTATCCATCGTGTGAGCATGTTTTCACATGAGCAGCATGTGTGTGTATCTGTGTTTGAATGTTCTAAACTCCTAATGTGCGTGTGTACATGTAACCTTTGCTCCAGTGCTCTGTATAATGTGTTTGTGCCTGTATAAGTAATTGCTTGGTGTCTATGGTCCCTGGAGTGCACGCCACTAGTCAATAGAGGACATTATGTTGTGAGTTTACCCATAATGCCCCAGGGGACTGGCAGTTGAGTGAGCTCATTGTGGTTTAACTGGTGTACTGAGTGGCCACTTGGGGAAAGAGTCATAGAGAGATAGTCATTTACGTGTACTGTGTACGTTGAGTGGTCGAGATTCACTTCACATGTGATTGTGATTATATGTGTTTGCATCCAAAGACAAAGAAAAGTAGATCTAATTAAAATGTTGAGCGGATGGAATCTATGCAGCCATAGCTGTATAACAACACAGGGAGGGGAAGAAGAAGACTGGGCAGGATTTAAAAGAAGATAATTTGATTTGTGTCCATTGCTGTATTATTTTTGTCACAACTTCTCCAGTTGGAACCCAAATGCAGACTATGCGAGGTAGATGGTGACAGGGTGAGTATTTATTGAACAAGGGGGAGTGGTATTTCCAACGTCCAGACAGGTGAATTCTGGTGATGTCGTGATGTGAGGGAGAGGTTCAGGATGCCAGTGACCGGAATCCAGGGTGAATGAACCAAAGACGGAGGTAAAAGCAATAGGTAAGTATACAACCACTACAAAGAGTGAACAGAGATTGATTCGCTGTTGAGGCTGACACGCAAGCACACATACGAATATGGCTAACGCTCCGGCAGGGACTGGATGTCAGGTCTCGGCTTAAAATACTGTTGTGACGATGGGACCAGATGTGTTGATTGGGCACAGGTGGGAGCAGGCACCGGTGATCCTGGTTCTCCTGCCTTGTCGTCGTTGCTCGGCAACCAGAACAAATAGACAGACAAACAGGAAAACATACTCAGGGAGCTGGGGTCGTGAACATTTTTCCTAGTGCCATTGCTCCGTACTGTGTATGTACTGACCACCCATAGTCTACATTGTGAACTGACTATTTGACCTGAATGGGTTCTAGCCACTGCTTGAAGTGGTGGCCAATAATGGCGCGTTTCCACCGAGCGGTACAGTGCGGTACAGGTCGGGTCGGTACCCTTTTATTTGTGTCTCCCCTTAAAACTGTACATGTTTATTACATTCTTAATTTTTTTACTTTTCTATTAAATGTCACATTATTTGTGCCATTTTTATTACTATAGATACTGATAAATCTCATAAATCAAGAATCTTACTGTTAATAAAAATGTATTCGGTGTAATACAGCTATGTAATTAATAAAGAAATGCATGCAGTCTTGGCATAAAAACTAGTTACATCGAACGCACCAGGTGTAACGCATCACAAGAGACAGGAGTGAAACCCAAGCGCAGAGCGCAGCTTTATTGTGGAAGTACAGACAAGGGTTAGGCGTGGTCGAGTCCAGTAGGCGGGCAGAGGGTCGAAAGCCAGGAGAGCGGGGATAAACAGAGGCACCGTCAGGGGGTCAGGCGTGGTCGTATCCGGAGTACAGGCGGGTGGTCGAAAGCCGGGATTACGTGGAGTTAGACAGAAGTACCGTTGAGGATCAGGCAGGCAGGAACGAGGTCTGGGACAAACGAGAGGTCAATAACAGGCAAGAACAGGAGATCGGGAAAACGCTCGGAATGTGATGGAACATGCACAAGACTTCGCAAGGAGCTTTGGGGAGTCACAGGCTTAAGTACAGGGCTGGCTCTGATTAGTGACGAGCCCCAGGTGAGTCGGTGGGCTGATCCCAGATGGCACAAACCATTATGGCTCAAAACAGAGGGGTGACTGAGGTCCCGATCTTCGCACCTCAATATTCCGGGGACGGGGAGCGTCTGCCTGTGACACCAGGAGATGTCACAGGCCCAGAGGCGTGGACACTGCTTTCCACACCTATTTCTGATCTGTATATATACATGTATGTGACCTTTGTTTGAGATGTGTTGGTTAAAGTGAGAGACAGTGAACTACCTTGTAGTTCCTTCTTATGTCCTGAGTTACTTCGTTTTTACTTCAATCCCTTCAGAAAACCTCCTATAATGCAGCAGGGTATGACATTCTACGCCGCAGTCTTCTTGGTCCTTTGGTCTACACTAGGAATAGACTGGGTCGGCAGCAATGTGGTCGCCGCAGTACACAAGGATCGAGGCCCCAAACTCTCAACTTGCAATTTACCTTACAGTTGTTTTATAATTTGCATAACAAGCACATTTAAGAAAAAGCTAATTTTACAAAAAAAGCATACTTTAACACATTAAGCAGTTTAGTGCGGAAGAAACCTAAAACCTAATTATAGCCATGTGGAAGGTCCATCCTGAAAAGAGACTGCATCCATGTTGTTGGTTTCAATGTTTGTTTCAACCGGCCAAATTTTGTTGGTCAAAAGTGTGACCAAATAGTGGTTATTGTGTGGTCTCTACATCAACTTTCTGTTTTGAGCTAAAGCTTCAGGACCAAACCTCTAACTGAAAGTCATCAAAGTTGCTAACCATACAACTACAGTATAGCTACAACACGCTACACAAAGCTTGAGTGCAGAAGAAAAGAAAACCCTCAAAAAGGGACTTTCAATTGATTACTTAAAAGATCAGCACAAGGGAGACAAGTCTCAATCCAAAGTATCTGCCTGCTCTCGTCTCCACATAGAGGACCGAGGTGGCAGAGATTTCCATCAGACTGAGTGATTGGGCCAGAGGGGGCAGTGAGTCGGGTCTGTCCTAATCCACTGAGGCTCTGAAGCAGGCTTCAGATCCAAATGTGGTCTCCATCAGGTGCACAGACTGATAGAAACACGATTTATATACAGGAACAACAGCATCGTCCTCCACCTCATGTGCAGAAGGTTCAATTAGCAGAGTTTCAAGTTCGTCTGAGTCTGACACAGTTTTTACTTTTCAGAGCTAATGACTAAAGTGCGGACCACCTCCACTTCACAACTCCTATCTACTGTAAATATCCGGGAGAGTAAAAGAAGACATTTAAACATAAATCGTAAAGCAACATAACTAAGAAGTGGACGGAGTGCTAAATAAATGCAATTGACATTGATGACATGGTATGAATTGTGTCCTCTCCCACCCGTGGGGTGATGACATCCCACACCTTGTTTTTTAGTCTCTCAGTTCTCTCTGAGGAGGTCTGATTGTCTTTCTCTGTCTCAGCCTCTCGAAAACACTTGTGGGAAATGTATCCAGGGATAACAAGTATGTCAGGCTTTTTGAGAGAAAAGAGTAATAAAAAGTAGGTTTATTTGATGCTGTAGAGATAAAGAACACTACTACAAAGCAGGGCATCTCTCTGTCCATCCATCTGCCAGATACAAGATTTACTGACGTCACAACCAAAGTCTGTATCACAAACAGGTGCAATGGCGGCCCACCTCCCCCTACAAACACTGTGGGAGCCGAGCGTACCAACGCTACCACCAAACTCTTCTTCACTTCCTTCCAGCATTACCGGGGCCACGAGGAAAGAAATTTAACGAATATGCAAAATGTAAAACCGCCATTCGTTATAAGTCTTTTTCCGAATAGTAAGAAACTTACAAACCAGGTTGTGGGGTATTAAGGGCAGAAGACTTTTTAGAGGTTAAAATCATAGTAATCTGGTGAATCCAGTTTGGTATTGATTGCTTTAAACCATCATTTTAAATAATTACGTAGTAAAATCGTCATGTTTGTAGCTGCCAGATAGAGCAAGTCAGTTTTACTGCCCCAAACACTCTCTTGCCACTGTCAGGTCCCCCTTCAGCTCTACGTATTATGTCAGTGTGTAATGTGTGTTTACTTGGCAGTGAACCAGACTCCTTCACACAGCAGCCGGTTGGTCAGTCAGTTCTGTCACTGCTGGCTCCGATCCAACGGCCTTAGCCAGCGGAACATCCCGGCTCCATCCTGCACGCACGCGCATGTGCACACACAAACACACGCAAGCACACACATCCCATTCTATAGAGGAGCAGGTAATGTGCATGTCCATCCTTGTGGATTGCTATGTTTTTTTTGCCAGATGACTATTATTAGCCCCTTGGCAGATGTATTTATCTGCATAAAGCTCCCAGGATAGTGATTAGTGTTGGTATTTTAAGGGAGCTGAAGCTCGCTAAAGTTAGCCCCGTTCTTATCACCTGCAGCAACAAATACACAGAGATCAGTGTGATGTTCTTTTACATTATAATGTAAATATAATGTAATATTGACTTCTCATGTTTTCTGAGAAGCTGTAACATTTAGATCTATATTTGAACATACAAGTCCTGGTTGCTAAATAAAACTGAGGAGACGGACCTGTGGCCAAATGTTTCTCATTTCCAAAGCCAACAGTTCTGACTGAGCTAACAGTGTTAACCTAGAGGGGCGAGTGGAGGGTGAAGGATACTCCTCCACAACAGCAACATGGGTCAGAGCGCAGTTATAAGCTGTAACTATGAGTGCAATGCAGAGCGCAGCCATGGGCTGGTCTGTGGGGCATGCTAATGTGTATGTGCACTAAAAGGCATTTGCGCGTTACCCCAGATATGTAAATAAAGCATAGAGAACAGACATCGACTCCGGGGTCTTTAAGGTGAAGCCAATGAAGAAGTGTCTTAAACATGCATTCTTTCTAATGGCCATTAGGGGACTACTGTAGTTAAATTACATGCAAAATAATTAAGATTGTATAGCAGTCTTGTAAATGAAAATGAATTAAAATGAAAACCAACCCTGCTTATCACTTTATTTGTCTTCCACAGTAAAGATTATACACAACAGTTTATGTTCTCAGTCTCTAGTTTCAAGACTTCTTTGATCCTATATGATGTTCATTTATTAGATTATGGTCCATTTAGAGTCAAAGAGAACAAACAAGGTATGTTTTGGGAATCTTTTGGGGACGTTTTACATTACACAATAATGACTATTTTTTGTTTTAGTTTTTAATATATACACACATAGTAATGATTCAGTGTTAGTGTCGATCTGCAGAAACAATATAGTAAGCTTGTGAGTACTTTCTTTCATGCTCAAACAAGGTATTATTATTTTCTGGAATTCTTTTCCATAAATGAATCCCCTGCTTAATGAGATGAATCATGATCTGTTTCTAAGCGTATGTGTATATGTGTGTTTGTAAATTTTTGGGACACTGAAATGCAGAGAATGTGTTTGGGACGATAAGACTAAAATTGAGGGTTTTAAGGACGCTGAAACCTCAACAATATGGCCGACAATTTACACGGTTCATTAGTTCTAAAGATCAAGGAGTGTGTGTCCAGCCTGGAGCCCCACACGGAGCAAAGCCGCACACACACACGCGCACACACACACACACACACTCGCAAACACAAAGAATCCTCCTTACACACTCATCTATGGGGTCAGATCAGTCTCAATAATTGCAAATGCGCACAGAGCGACTCACAAATGTATTCGATTTACAAATGCACACAGAAGGATTTACAAGTAAATGCAGTGTGACCCGCAGATATGATTCGTAATCCGCAAATAACAAAAACATTTGTGAATTTTTCCGTGCGCTTTTGTGAGTCGCTCTGTGCGCATTTGCAATTATTGAGACTGATCTGACCCCATCCACGCAGCCAGCCATGTTATATTTTAACCAGGAATCAGGAACAATTATTGCCAAAATATGTTGGACATACAAGGAATTTGACTTGGCGGTTGGTGTATAACATCAGACAGAAGACAATGATCAGAAGAAAGACTAACTGCATTATTTATTAGTTAAATCAAAGGTTGTATCTGACATCAATTTTCTTCTAATTTTACTAAAAACCTGTGTCTTTTAATCTGATTAACCGGTATGGGTTGCTGATAGACTTTAATCAAATCAATGCAGAAATTTAGTTTGCGTCTCATTTTCTATTCTGGTAAAGCTGCAAAGTATAGTGTGTTTTTAGAAATTCAGTTCATTCCAGATATTTAAATTGAAACAGAATTTCAACACAATGTTGCCATAATCTGAAGAGAAGAGGACTTTGAGAAACCAGCAGAAAGGAGAGATGGAACGTTCCTATATCCTGGAGGATTTGTCTCTCCCCTAAAAAGCATATGTGTGTTCTTCATAAAGACGCAGTAAAGTATCCTGAATCCCCTAACACAGCAGCGTCACAACTGGAATGTAACTGGAATATGTTCTCCCTGTGTCTTCGCTCCATCAGTTATTTACGTTCAGGATATGTTCTCCCTGTGTCTTCGCTCCATCAGTTATTTACGTTTCCTATTTACGAATTCAAAATATGAATTACAGACGTACAGTGGATTGGCATGATTTCTAATCAGATAGTTTGTCATAAATAGACGGAGATATTATCAATATTTCTGACTCCCCCATCCACAAAATGACTGTTTGTGTAACAATGACCTTGATTTTGCATTCCATCTTATGGCCAGCAGGGGGCGACTCCTTGAGTTACGAAAACAAGACTCATTGTATAGAAATCTATGACAAAAGTGACTTCTCACTTGATTTACGACGTATGTAAACATGTTCAACCTGGGTTTAGCATCTCAATCTCTAGTATTAAGTCTTTTGATGCAGTTTGATGTTCATTTTGTAAATGATGGCGCCTTTTAGAGTTAAATAGATCATAGAGCTGTGCGTGCTTTAGGGCAACCCTTCTGTGATTCTGTGAAAAGTTGCTGTGGCTACCGGGCCGTATAAGGTGTCTCTCCCTCGACCCTCCGAATTCCAAACACTGTAAATTCAGTTTATCGGTCGAAAAGAACACCATGGAAACAGCTGTGATCGTCTAGTCTGATGTCTAGAGACAAGTAGAAAACCTTTCACCACAGTGGAAAATGAAAGAATGCGATTCAATTGACCCACAGTGTCCCCTTGGTAGAAAAGA